AAAAAAAAAAAAAAAAAAAAAAAAAAAAAAAAAAAAAAAGATTTATGAGTTCCAGGACAGGTTCCAAAGCTACAGAGAAATCCTGTCTCATAAAATGTTTATTATGTATAGTGTTCTGTCTGCATGTATGCCTACATGCCAGAAGACAGCATCAGATCTCATTATAGTTGGTTGTGAACCATCATATGGTTGCTGGGAATTGAACTCAGGATGTCTGGAAGAACAGAGGGTGCTCTTAACCTCTGAGCCATCTCTCTAGCCCAAAATGTGCAGCCCAGGATGACCTCGAACTTGTGACTCTCCTGCCTCTGCCTCCTTTAGCAAATGCTTCAGGTGTACACCACCACAACCAGTGGCACATGCCTTTAATTCCAGCACTCAGGAGGCAGAGCCAACTAAAACACTTAAAAAAGAATTTATTTTTATTATTTTGAGTTCTGTGTATCTGTGCATGTGTGTGCAGGTGCTCATGGAGGCCAGAGGAGTCAGATCCCCTAGAGCAGGAGTACAGACAGCTACAAGCTGGGAATGGAACTAAGGTCCTCTGCAAGAGCCGCAAGTCTCTTACCCACTGAGCCTCTAAAATGCCCTCTGTACATGTTTTGTAGAAGCCTTGAGGGATAACAAAATTATTAGTTACGACATGATTTTCTCACTTCTCCATTGTTCATTTTAGATACTCCCAGTCTTAAAGCTTTCTCCATCTTATGCAATGAGTCAAGACGTTGAAAAATGCATTCTTGGTAACACTTGGGAATTATGTATGCCTAGCTCAGAAAATACAAGAAATTGAAAAGCTTGTGGTGTTCCATCACCACCTGGCATGGTGTGAAGGGGCCAGCATCACCTTCCCATTAAACCAACTTAAAACTGGGGCAAAGCATAAGAAGGAAGTACTGAGTGAGAAAGCCAGATAAAGAAAATATGGTGGTAATGATCCTACAAAAACTAAACCCTCATGAAAGAACCCAGATCAGCATTTGCCTTGGCAGAAGGTCAGGATGGGATGGATGACACACAGGAGGAAACTTGGAAGGATGGAATTGAGCAGTTTTCACCATGGGAAGTTCTTACTGTCTTAGTACTGTAGTCATGCCAGGGTTATGATGCCATTTCAGTAAAACTATACAAGATGTCAACATTAGATGCAGTGTTTAGAATTAGAATCCTAAGTTTGCATAGAGCCTTATAATCATGCATTTGACCACTGCTACCACTTTTCCTCTAAGTAGTCATTCTTTTTTATTTTTGGTCTCTTACTTTGGAACATACTAGGAGGATGATCTTGAACTCATCATTCTGCCTCCACCTTCCAAGTGCAGGACTATAAGTGTAGTCCTGCACCTTCTCTGAGAATCATGTGTATACTGCCCCCACCGTCCCGCTTTATTTTTGAAAGGAGCTTGTCATGTAGCTCAGGCTAGTCTTGAACTGACAATCCTGTCTTAGGCTCCTGAGTGCTGGCTGTGCTTACAAGCTAGTGCCACCACACCCATAGCCTTAGTTAGGGGGATACACATTATTTCCCCTTCTCTTGGGTGTGTTTCTAGGAGTGGAACTGCTAGGCCACACAGTAACTCTTCCTTCAGTACTTTGAAGAGCTGCCCAACTTTTCCAAACATCTAAACTACTTAGCGTTTTACTACAAGTGTAGGATGTTCCAGTTCCTCAGCAAGCTGAGACCTCCTCAATCTTCATCATGTACCATAACTGTGTGCTCTACAGTGCCCAAGGGGTGGATTTCCAGAATTCTTCAATTCATTATTTTCCTTGAGAAGATGACTTTGCTTAATGTGTTTTATAAGTCTGTGCTCCATTTTCAGACAGAAAGCACAGCTTTTATTTGTACCTTGCAGTTTGCCTTAAATTAAAATGTCTGTTTGGCAAAGACAAATAAAAAAAGAGGGAATTTAAATGCTCAATCATTGTTTCAGATTGATCATTCATTGTCAGGACTTGTCTTTTCTTCTCTTGGAGCCAAAAATCTGGGAATTTGTTTTTGCTTTGTTTTGCTTTAGTTGCTTTTGAAAAGCTCAAGTGTTATTCTAAGGCACATGAGGAAGACTATGAGTTTGAGGGTAGCCTGGTCTATAAGAGAAGATCCTGTCTTTAAAAAAAGGAAAGGAAGGGGAATAGGGAAAGCACAGGAAGGAACCTGAAGTTGTAACTTCAACCTGTTTTAACCAAGTGTCTACATAGTATTTGGGAGCTCTATCTAGTTTCACTTTTTTCTAGAAACTTAGAAAGCCTCTCTGGGACACCCTAGAGGTCATATTTGCAGGTGGCATGTAACAGGCAGGTGGTGAGGATGTGCCTCTTTAATCCCAGAACTTGTTCCAGGACAGCCAGAGCTGTTATACATAGAATCCCTCTCAAAAAACAAAACAAAAACCTAGTGGAGGTTGCATATAAACTAAACAGATACCCTTATGTTTGTAACAGAATAAAAAGGCAAACAAAACATTTAAGACAAATATTTTAATCATCTTTACAGTTTATTTATAGCCCCAACTACTGTATATGAATAATCATATTCAACTATTTACAGGTATATAATCATGTAGAACTTGCAAGGCAATCTACAAAGCACAGGGACTAACATATTACACTAGAGAGGGTTACTTCAGTGCTAGAGAACCTTATATAAATGAATTTGTTCAAGAGTTTCTCTGTCCATGTCCCTCTGTGGATACACATCAAAGTTCAATGGTATCTCTTCCACCCAGGAGGACAGCTGCATATTAGTCTATGAGAGAAAAAAAAAAAGCATAAACAACATGAAATTTTCAGAATGATCCCATTTAGAATTTCACAATCACACGAAGTAAATTACCCAACAGATTTATTTTTAAAGATTTATTCTATTTTATTTTATTTTATTTTTATTTTTTGAGACAAGGTTTCTCTGAACTCACAGAGATCCCCTGCCTCTGCCTCCCAAGTGCTGGGATTAAAGGCGTGTGCCACCAACGCCAGGTAAAGATTCTATTTTATATTTATTAGTTATGCATGCATATATGTGTACCATGTCTGTGTCTGGTCCCCAAGAAGGCCACAAGAGGGTATCAGATTCCCTGAAACTGGAGTTATAGACAGTTGTGAGCCGACACATGGGTGCTGGGAATTGAGCCCAGGTTCTCTGCAGATGCAACAAGTGCTCTTACTTGCTGAACTATCTCTCATAGGCTCTATTTACAGGGCTGTTATTACCACAACCACAGGGCTGTTATTACCACAAATAGCACTAAGTTACATAGTACCACACGAATAAATTTGGTTGTTCTCAACTTGTGGGTTTGGAGACTTATTTTACTCTGATTTTGGAACTTGAAAAAATTTTTACAAAGTTTTTTTAATATACAATGTTTTTAGATTTATTTTATGTCTATGAGTGTTTTTGCTTGCATGTAGACTGTGCACCACCTGTGTGCACCTGGTGCCTATGGAGTTCAGAAGGGGATTATCCTGGAACTGGTGTTATGGATGGTTGTGAGCTACCACGAGGGTGCTGAGAACTGAACCCAAGTCCTCTGCAAGAGCAGCCAGTGCTCTCAACAGCTGAGCCATCTCGCCAGCCCCTTGAATAATTATTTTAATGTAAGTAGTGTAATAATTATCATAAAACTTAAATAATCACAGATAGAAACACCAGGAATACACACAAAGCACAGAAAACGTGTTCTCATTCCCATAGCACTGGAGAGGAGCAATCTCCCTCTACAACCTGCATGAGACTGAACCCTCACCCTATAAACTCTGGAGCCATGATCCTGTAAATTTGTTTAAAGTAGTTCTTTTAAAATAAATTTAGCAATTGTCACACATGTACATGTGGATACTCAAGGACAACCCTCCAGAGTCACTTATCTCCACCAAGTGGAATCTGGGGACTAAACCCAGGTTACCAGGCCTGAACAGCCAGAGCTGTTCCCTGTGAGCCATCACACTGGCCTCAAAGTTGTTCTCTTAAATAAGAAAGCAACAAAATTGTCAGTTCATGAATAAGATCTCTTTCATAAACTTTTCTTTCCTTTTTTTCTTTTCTTTTCTTTTTGTGACTGTTTCTTTGTGTAACAGTTCTGGATGTCCTGTAATTCACTCTGTAGACCAGGCTGGCCTCGAACTCCCAGAGATCTGCCAGCCTCTGCCTCCTGAACGTTGGCATTAAAGGCGTGCAAACTCCCAGAGATCTGCCAGCCTCTGCCTCCTGAACGTTGGCATTAAAGGTGTGCACCACCACCACTTGGCATTTCTTATAACTCTTTTTTTTTTTTTTAAAGATTTTATTTATCTATTATGTAT